ATTAAAAATATTAATATGATGCTGTGTATATGTGTCCCCACGGACTGGGAAGAGGAAATGCAGGGAGTGGGAGTAGGCTTTTAGGGAAGAATGAAGAGAGATGGCAGCCTATTTAAATAGGTCGCAGGAGTTTGAATGTAGCATTTTGATAAAGAATTTTTATTCTATCACATTTCGGTAATATTATTTACTGTGAGTAGCATTTTGGTCAAAAAGCCTAGTAATCATCTATCATGACATCATTCATGAAACCTCTCACCTGATTGATACAAATATGACATCATTATTATACTGTTCTATTAAAAAACTTTTAATTCAAAATGCTATAAATAAAATTTAAAAATAATTTGTTGGGAAAAAAATTTAGATAAATTGAGTCTTAGAAACTCATTTGAACTAGACTCAGGAAAGATGTACAAATCACTTATTAACAAAATCTCACTTACAAAGGTACTTGTAGGTCAACTATCAATAATATTTTGAGAAAATTACTAACAAGTCCCACAGAAGGCAATTTATTACTCTGAGGTCCCACGAAATGTCAAAATCACTGACAGGTCCCAAGGGACCTCAGAGTAATATTTTTGTTTTGTAAAATGACATTACTGCCCCTCATATTCCAGATTCACATTTGTTCTGTCATTACGATTTACAACCTCAGCAGCGACTATTAACAACCTAATGAGAGGGCGTTAACAACCCTAGCAGTATCCGTTAACAACTTACTTTATAGAATTATATAACCTCTACATAAGAGTAAATTATAACCAAATAATATAATACAACAACTTTAACACTAAAATAGGAAGCTTTTTGATATCATTAAGAATTTTAACTAGATCCAATAGGATTATAGTAATATTTTAATGCGAATATCCATTTACAATCTCAACAGCGATTATTAACAACCGAATGAGAAGGCATTAACAACCTAAGCAGTAGCCGTTAACAACTTACTTTATAGAATTATATAACCTCTGCATAAGAGTAAATTATAACCAAATAGTATAATAAAACAACTTTAACACTAAAATGGGAAGCTTTTTGATATCATTAAGAATTTTAACTAAATCCAATAGGATTATAGTAATATTTTAATGCGAAGATCCATTTACAACCTCAATAGCGACTATTAACAACCGAATGAGAAGGCATTAACAACCTAAGCAGTATCCGTTAACAACTTACTTTATAGAATTATATAACCTCCGCGTAAGAGTAAATTATAACCAAATAGTATAATACAACAACTTTAACACTAAAATGGGAAGCTTTTTGATATCATTAAGAATTTTAACCAAACCCAATAAGATTATAGCAACATTTTAATGCGAAAATCCATTTACAACCTCAACAGTAAGTATTTATAACCTAAGGAGAATTGTTAACAACTTTAGTAGTATTTGTTAACAACTAACTTTATCGGATAATATAACTTCTAACTATAACTAACTAAACTATAACTAAATAGTCTTAAAGTTAATCTTATATAGTTGTTAGATGTTATATTATCCTATAAAGTCAATTGTTAATAGATACTGCCTAGATTGTCAACAGCTCTCTTTGGGTTATTAATGCTCACCATTGAGGTTGTAAATGGATCTTCGCATTAAAATGTTGCTATAATCCTATTGGGTGTAATTAAAATTCTTAATGATATCAAAAAGCTTCCAATTTTAGTATTAAAGTTGTTGTATTATACTATTTGGTTATAATTTACTCTTATGCAGAGGTTATATATTCTATAAAGTAAGTTGTTAACTGATACTGCTTAAGTTGTTAATGCCTTCTCATTCAGTTGTTAATAGTCACTGTTGAGGTTATAAATGGATATTCGCATTAAAATATTACTATAATCCTATTGGATCTAGTTAAAATTTTTAATGATATCAAAAAGCTTCCCATTTTAGTGTTAAAGTTGTTGTATTATATTATTTGGTTATAATTTACTCTTATGTAGAGGTTATATAATTCTATAAAGTAAGTTGTTAACGGATACTGCTAGGGTTGTTAACGCCCTCTCATTAGGTTGTTAATAGTCGATGCTGAGGTTGTAAATCGTAATGACAGAGCAAATGTGAATCTGGAATATGAGGGGCAGTAATGTCATTTTACAAAACAAAAATATTACTCTGAGGTCCCTTGGGACCTGTCAGTGATTTTGACATTTCGTGGGACCTCAGAGTAATAAATTGCCTTCTGTGGGACCTGTTAGTGATTTTCCCTAATATTTTACTTAGAGATCGTCTATTAATAAAGTCTTTATATCATTAGTAATAAGATTCGAACTCACGACATTATAAGTTATGAATTGATCCCTTACTAACTGTGCAACCTTTTATTGGTAATTTAAAAAATAATTTTCATTATTTAAGATCCTTACAATTGTCAGCAAAAATGATAGGCGAGGGCACCCAAATAGGTAATTAAAAACATGAAATCAAGGTCATTCAGAGAAGAAGACGACAATAAATTAATACCTTAAAAACACTTTTAAAATTAAAAAAAAAAAACTGCATACCCTCCTTCTAACCAAAAACTGCATGTGTATCTGTATATACACATATATGCATATAAAAAATATTTAGATAACTTTTTTACATTTGTTATATTAAATTTTTCAATGACATTTATATGTGGGCATGAGTCCTTTGTTTTCTAGTGTGGATTTATAGTTTAATAATAATTATTTTAAAAATAAAACATATCACAATATGTGATTGAAAAATTGAAATAAGGAATATAAAAAAAAATGTAGCATATTTCTTTGGCCCTATTTATAAGTCACTTTTAACCTGTTTCACACAGACTAAATAAAATCTTAAATTTTATTAACTCTAATTTAAAATTCAATAATTTTTTAATTTTATCCCTATTTGATATGTATTATACCTCATATAAACAAAATAAATACAATAATAAATAAAGGGTAAAAGTATACATTTATACAATAAATTTCTTTTAATACCTTATAAATAGGATTAAAAATATTTTTTCTCTCTACTTTATAGAAAAAAAAATAATAGGAGTAAGCATTAAGATGGAGACAGACATCCAATGATGAGCGTTCAATGAAGCAAACAGAACACAACGTTAGCTATACTATGCCCGTATCAGAATCTTGTCTGCTCATTCTAGATTTGGAGAACATATTGCAAATCTTTGCAAAGAAATATTCCGATCCAATTACTTGGTTTTTTTAAAACAAAAATGTGGAACAAGATTGTGATTTAAATAACAAAAAAGTCATTCATCTTCGTTTTTTTTCCTTCTTAATTCAAATATATACACATGACTTTAACTTTATTACGACCCAATAATTTTATTAATATTAATTATTCTGATCCGAAATTCTGGACGTTTGGCACTTGGCATCCGGGTGTCACCGATTTGAGCGGCAAAGAATCATGCACATATCTCATGATTATTCCTGGGCACCATACTCTGTAACTCACAAAAAAAAAAAAGTTTCGTTTCTCATATTTATTTTTTAAAAAATAAATTTACCTTGGCTTTCCATTGTTGTCCCAGAAGAAGCTACCCAATATCATATTCATTTCCTCAAAATATTTTCCTTACAGTTCAATACAAAATAGGGGATAATTTAAAATAAAAGTTATTACTATGCGGTTCTATTTATAAGAGTTAATTGACTAATTTGAGCATATTAAAGAAAGAAGTTAAGTTGGTTATTTGTAATAACTATGTGTTATCTTTCTTAAAATACCCTTACTAATCAAGTGTATTTGTTAGAACTATTATTGTTAGAAGGACTATTTTAGAAAAAATGTATAAATATCATAGATAAAGTGGACTGAAGTCTTATATTTAGGACTAAAATAAAAATCAAACAAGGCCTTATATTAAGGACGAGAGATAGTATTACTCTGGCTTAAGTAAGACTTATCAGAATTTTGCAGCCCAAATAACATAAAATAATTTTAAAGACTTCTGACCAAAAAAAAAAATTTTTAAAGACTTTTCCTAATTATGAGATTATGAGTTCAGATTCTCTAACAAAAAATATAATAAATACGCAAGTTACAGGGAAAAAAAAAATGAAAGCATCTCTTTCTTACGATAGTAACACATTGGCTTTTTGTCTGCATTCAATATGGCTTATAGACAAGCCAGACAATTATGGAATGTGGATTTTCCCACTAAAGGAAAGACTACCAAATTTAAAAAATTTGTCTCATGCACGAAAAAATATACTCCTCCAGTCCTTAATATAGGATCTAATTATTGAGTTGGTTTTGGTCCTAAATATAAGACCCATTTCTCATATTTATCAATTTTCTCTAAATTACCCCTATGAATATTCCCTCAATCATAATCAAGTAGAAGAGGGAGAGGGATATTAAGAAAGATGATTATGGTGTTTTAGAAAAAATGTGTTACATTTCTTATAATTAACTAACTTACCTAACTTCCTTAATCTAATCAAATTAGTTAAATGGGTTTTATATTAATGACCGGAGGAGTATATCAGCTTTATCTCTTCTTTGGACCAGCATAATTATTTTATCTTAAAAAGGTACGAAAATACTATGTTTTCACCATGTTTCCAAACTTAGTTTTAAAGAATAATTTGAAACATTCTATTTTTTCAGGTACAAAGAAAGAAACCGTTTTTTCAAAAGATGTGTCCACTCCCATACAACTGTTTTTTTTGGCCACATAATAATGTACAGTGTTACTTCAGTAGTCAATAAATAATAAATAGCTAGTTATCGATGATTTTGGATTTACATAATATCTATGGTCTGATATATTATTAAAAAATTTATTTTTTTAAATTTTTTTGAGAAATTATATCTTTGTATGAACTTATTACTATTAATACTAAATTTAGTTTTATTTTATTTTGGTCAAAGAGTTCGATTATGATTTGAACATTAAAAAAAAAAAGGAATAAATAAAGAGGAAGCAGAAACAGAATGGTGCAAATACGGAGAATCATCCAGGTAAGCAACATGCAGGTTGGCAAATTACGAAGGCCTTGCCTTTCTCTCGCGAGCTCTCCCTCACAGGGCAGAGAGAGAAGAGAAGAGAGAGAGTGACGGAGGGAGATGACAGTCTGGCAATATTGGGAGGTCAAGCAAAGATGCCCTTCTGTTCTATGTCTCTGTCTTACGTCTATATATATATATATATATATATAGAGCACTCATTTCTTTCCTCCGAATTTTGGCTTTTGTTTTGAGCCTTTCCGTCTTCCAGAGAGACAGAGACTTAGGATTTGGGCGCCATGAGTCTCTTCGGTCTTGGAAGCAGGTCAGCCTTCAATTATAACAGTCAATTTTCTCGAAGATTATCTGCATTCTGATTGCGTAACTGTTGTCGATCCTTTTGCATTCATAATCGTTTTGTTTCACGTTGTGTTCTCTTTTTGTTCCGCTGCATTCAATTATTTTCCATTCTCTCAAATAGAATGGTTTGATATTTGGCTGTCAAATTTATCGCTTCAGTTTGATGATTCTTTTTGTGAAAGAGCAATGTGAATCTGTCTCCCTGAGAGCCGGCTATTCGAAATTCATTGGAGCAGAAAACCAATTTTGAAATTTGACAATTCGATTTCTAATGGGATGTTTACTGATATTGAGAGACGATATTTTTCGCTTTCTTTCAGATGATTCTTTTTTTAGGTTAGTTTTAGAAGGGGCGTGCAAGGCCCATCAATCCGTTCAAGCCCAACCCATGAAATTATGACTTCCACCTATTTGTCCAAAAGCCGAGTTTAAAAAAAGTTCCACTATAAAGAGCTTACAACAGAAGCATCATTAATTTGTCATGTAACTTTTCTTTGGATAAATGGAATGTAAAGTATTTTTTGTTTAATTTTTATATTCTATGAAATTGTGATGTACCTTGCCCTTCAATTGTGTTAATTGTATATTGAACGCATTACTGTTGTATTGATTCAACTACAAAACGATGTAATGATTTCTGGACATCATGCTTATTGTCTTTATTTTAACATGTTAAAATGATTTATCACTTAAATCATGCCGAAGTTAAAAAAAAATAAAATCAGAATATACTTTAAAAAGTGCTTATAATATTGTTATCGTATTTGGGTATTTTGATCTAACTTGTTCCAAGCTGATTGGCGTCGAATAAGCCAATTCTCTCTCCTATCTTTTAAACATGATTTTAGTTTTACCTTTTTGTTACATATAACTGTTGGTGGGAAGTGCTGTGATGACAAAAATTCTGCAAGTTTTTCATTGCTGATCATTCTGTGTATGCTATTTTTGATAATTTTTTCTGCTTCTGCAAGTACTTCTTTTTTCATTGTTTGTCCATGTTAAGTTGTCAACATGATAAGTACAAGGAGGATTCTGTCAAACCACCTGAAGTTTACAGCAGGTAAAAGACGCCAATGTTTGGCTATTGTCTATGCACGTCGATAGAATGCTAACATAACAGGCGTTTCATATGTGTGCTGAATGTGGGAGTGACACATGATTGACGTGCAGGGGTCTTACTGTAATTAGCTTAAAACATATCAGTAATGTCTGTCTTACGGGTTTATGTCACAATCTTGGTCCACATATTTGTTTTCACTGTTAGTGACTACTACTGCTTTGATCTCTGCAGAAATTCAAAAACTTTTCGTCCGAAAAAGAGTGCTCCATCTGGAAGCAAGGTCAGTTTTCCTTGATTTTCATTCTTTTCTATGGTTGCTGGATTCTTTTCTGCTACTGTCTTGGGGTTATGCATATTCAATTTGTTTGTCGTTTTGTCTCATGCATTTTATTTCTTAAAGTGCAGGGTGCTCAACTACAAAAGCATATTGATGCCACATTGGGTAGTGGAAACTTGAGAGAAGCTGTAAAGCTGCCGCCTGGTGAAGATATTAATGAATGGTTAGCTGTAAACAGTAAGAACCTCTAGTTCATTGAGTTTCAGGCAAATCACGCTGGAAGGTTTAAAATTTAAATTATTCATAAATTGCTTGTAAAATGTTAACTTTAGTGTCCCTTCTTTGTGCAGCTGTGGATTTCTTTAATCAAGTGAATATCCTTTATGGCACTCTTACGGAATTCTGCACACCAAACAACTGTCCAACAATGACTGCAGGACCAAAGTATTTGATCCGTCAGCCAAACTCTCCTTATTTTTCTTGCATCAACTAAGTGCCTATTCTACTTGCATCTCCTTATCTTCTGTCTACTATTTTTGGCATGTTGGCAAGCTATTAACAACAATTACTCTAGGTATATGTAGCCTTTTATAATAGGTAATACTAATACATGGTTTTAGTACATGCACCACAAAAATCAATGAAACCTGCCTAAACTAGTTTTTTTTTTTTTTTTTTAAACCAGTGGCTTCAACCATTTTGACGAGGGCTCATATCAAAAAGAGCTTGCCATATTAAAGTTCTGGTTGTTTTGTCAATTAGTAGTATCATTTCATAGTGCTTGAGAGTACATGGCGTCTAAAATACTGCACCTAAATATTTGCTGGATATGCGTATAAATTAAAAACTACCCTTTACCTTTTCTGAGTGATGGAGGAATGGGTTCTGTGAGAAATTTCATTCTTCCAAATATGAAGCAGGATGGGTGCTGAGCTATGTTGGAGACTGTTGGTAGTGAATATTAAATAGTACTCTCCGAATTACAAGTTAACAGAGATTTTCCTAATTAACCTAAGCGTAGGGATTTGACAAAAGGAAGAACTCTTTCAAATGCAAGAATGGGAGAACCAATCTCCTTTAGTTTAGACCGCCCTGTTTCACCTGTCCTGTATCATTTTTTTCTTTGTTTTGTAGCCTTTGTTTGGTTGTCTTCTAGACTTTTCTTGACTTAAATGGACAAGTTGAATCATTAGTTCATAATGATCAACGTTAACATCATCCAGGGGGCAAGTACTTAATATCAGTTAAATTCTACAGATATGAGTATAGATGGGCTGATGGCGTCACAATTAAGAAACCTATAGAGGTATCTGCTCCAAAGTATGTTGAGTATCTGATGGATTGGATTGAATCTCAACTAGATGATGAAACAATTTTTCCTCAAAAACTAGGTACGTTTTCATCAAAGAAGCCGAAGCAACTTGACTGATTTTTTTGCCGGTTATTATAATTATTAATGACACCTGCGCTGCTGCGTTGGTCCAGGGGCTCCCTTTCCGAGCAATTTTGGAGATGTTGTTAAGACAATTTTTAAGAGATTGTTCCGTGTATATGCTCACATATATCACTCACATTTCCAAAAGATAGTGAGTTTGAAGGAAGAAGCTCATCTGAATACATGCTTCAAGCATTTTGTTTTGTTTACATGGGTAAGTGAAAGACCATAATGTTCAAACATGCACTGTTTATTTCTCTTTTGGTTCTCATGTCAATCTGACTCTGCAGGAATTCCGTCTGATTGATAAAGCAGAGCTCGCCCCTCTCCAGGACCTTGTTGAATCTATTATACAATTATAATGCTGTTTTTGCATCCCTTCTCCATTTTAGGGAGGTTAAACTTCGAAATGTTGGGTGCAGATCTGTTTTTTGCGTTTATCTTGCCCATGTAAAATACTTGATCAATGAAAGGTTTCTATTTGTTCAGTGGTGATTGTTCAAATGTTACCCACATCACATATTTGAAAAGTTTTTTTTTTTTTTTTTGCCTTCATTCCTATCAAGTAAATTGACATCTTTGAAATGCCAATGAGGGCTAACCCTGAAAATTATTGCAGAAGCGTGAATAACAAGTATTTTCTCTCGGTCATTGCTACTCAGCTAGTCTTTTGTAAAGCTTGAAGAACTAGCCAAAGTAGCTTGAGGATACTGTAAGTTATACTTTTGGGGGGGGGGGGGGGAAGCTAGTCCTCAGATGGCTTCATAGAAACTAGGAAGTCAAATTCATTAGTGAGGCAAGAGTTCACTTCTCAATCGTTTGAGCAAATTCACATGAGCGTTCACTTTTGTTAGCTCTCATTTGCATCATATGCTTTGTTTCATTCTTTCTTGTTTTTTTACAATGTTTTTGCAAAACATGTTGTGGAAGAAGCAGAATGCTTCTAATTTAAACGTGTAGAATATTCCATGCATTGAAATATTAGAAATCTTTCTTTTGCCACCAATATTATATTTTGAAAAGATCACCTTGGCTCAGAATTGTTCCTCACCCACGAACCACGATGCAGGACATTATTCGAGAGATGAAGTTCCGGATAGATCCTTAAATTGCAAGCTTCATTTCGTAGTCACAACAGAAATGTTGAAATTTCTTTTTGTGACATCAATTATTTAATATTGCTGACTAATTCGTAATCAAGTTTGGTCAACTTTCAATTGAGAGAAAGTCTCTTGATATGATTCCCCCCCCCCCCCCAATTCAGAGTTCAAATTCAAGACCTTACTCAAAGGGTGTTAAATTTTTTACCACAGAGTCCCAACGCCATCACAAGATGAAGCTAAATAATGGATAAGGCATCAGAAGGTAACCAGCTTGTCTTCAGAAGCTAAATAAATCACAATATTTTCTTATTTATATTTTATACTATAACATATGCCTCTTAACATCAATTGCTATGATTTAAATTATAATCAGAAAAAATAAGCTAAAAGGAAAAATAAAGCCCCGATTCAAGCGTGGTTAGGGGTAAAAAAAAAAAAAAAAGTTTGATTCAGTGTGTGTGGTGTGTTAAGAACAGTGGTATACTTGGCCAGCCAGACCACTAGTATCAACTCCCTTGGTCCCTTGTATTAATCTCATCTCCAACAGATGGGACGGTCCATGGCAACTTATCAGATAACTCCCAGCTTTTGAACATTCATGTTCCATCAGGTTATCAACGCGATTGTCTTGTCTGGTTCGTTTCGAATAACCAAGATCGCTGTTCTAGTCTTTCCACACCTATCTTGTTTCACAAATACAATCTGGCTGAGGATTTGCATAAAAACTTTCCTCCAACTTTGGAAATTCTCCAGACTCTCTAGGATATGGAGCCCCAGTTCGGTCTTCATGAAGCTTTTTCACCTTAGAGCTGAACTTCTTCCAAGAAATTTTCCCTTCATCAAGCTGATCAACAAGTTTAACCAAATTCATCCTGCAATAGGCAATAAAATATCAGCTATAGTGCCAATAATAGTGTCAATTTCCCACAGAATGCCAGTCAGTTGTGCTAAAAGTTAAATAGGCAATGGAGTCACAATCTATTACTTGTCAGGATTGATGGTCTTCTTGAAGTTCTCAAAGCGCCTATGACCTTGAACCGCCTTCGCCATATTTCCATCGTAAGTATAGAGAAACACATCACTCTGAAGGGCAACAACATAGTCTATGCCAGCCAACATGTTTTGGTGATTCTTGAAAGGTTCCAACTCTTGCTCAGTAGACAGAGAGGAATGTGAGAAAATATTGGGGAAATCATCCTCAAGATATTTCATACTTCCTCTTCCGTATGCTTCACCGGCCACAAGATAAATCCTAGTGCTGGATGGAAAACCCAGTGCTTTAAGCAACAGTGAAGTTTCCCTTGGTGTTAATGGACATCCTCCAAGAATTCGCCTCTCGGTCCCATTAATCTCCTTCTCCTTCCAGTGACTGACTTCATATCGCATCTGTTTCAGTTCTTCATCTTCTTCCGCAGTCAAATTGTGGCTGCAGCCCGTAAATGCAAGCATATCCTTCTCATATCTAGAACAGGAAAAGGGTAACGTGATCCTTCAGATTCTTGGCAGGAACACAAATAATTGTTTCATGAAACCTACGTATCAATTGACACTCTTAATTCTGTCAATGAATTATTTTAATGGAACATGATTTAAATCTAATCTGTCAAACTATCGTTCTGTGTATGCAATGAAAAGCGAGAATACTTTGAGAAGCCAAGATATCAAGGGAGGCCTGAGATTCAATCAATGTGTAACATGTATAGTCAAGCTAAACAAAAAAAGACACTCATGCTAAATTCCGAACCCCCTCTAGTTCCCCTATAAACTAAATGCACTAAGCTTGTTGCATATATTTACAGGAGAGAAAAGACTGCATCGCTTGAGATACAACCTGTCTAGGACTTTATTCTAAAAATTCAAAACAGAATTCTAGAAAATACTGGAGAACACCCTTTTGCTCTTAAAGATTCAAACTCAGGATGCAGTAATGAGAAAATCAGAACGCAAAATGCAGGAAACTAGTATCCTACCATGAAAGGAGTTAGGTAAACTCCGGAAAAACACTGGAACCCCTCCAAACACCAAACCCCCCCCCCCCCGGGGGAGGAGAAAGAAAGAAAGACGATCCTATGTATTAGCAACTCACATTGATCTCAAACAGAAATTCAAAACCACAAGCGCTTCCATCCACACCATGCCAGGCCCTCACAATAGGGCTTTTAGTCAAAAAGTACAGAAATATAGAGACTTTTACGTGCACTTGAATTGGTGACTTCATTGACCGGCCAAAAGCAGGATTATGGGAGCAGTTCAACATCATTTTACCTTGTCAAAAGTAATTTATTATTCAAGTAGGCCAACAATTCAAGCCATGAGCACGGACCATCGCCACTCCATATGATCAGAAGTCAAAATCTAGCTTTTCCAAGAATTAAATAATCTCTACTCAATATATATATATATTTTATCAGGATAATAATGCTAATAGGTTGAAGCCTTAAAATGTGGGCGGGATGAAAAATTTTAAGAAAACGAACAGGAGAAACACTTTTTTGACAATGACGCCTTTTGATTTTATTGTAAATCACGTAGATTCAAGGGAAATATCACTATCCGTGAAACGAAAACATTCAGATTTTTGTATTAATTGATGGTAAAACGCAATTCCCAGAATATAGATGCACTCAGTCTCAGGCTCATCCACATATATGGAAATTGCAAGAGGACAGGGAAGGAAAGCTGAGGGAGAAAAAAGGGTAGAAGAGTAAGTGAAGAAAGAAAGAGATCCAATGTGTAAAATTGCGTAATTTGTGGGAGTATTAGATTCCCTACTTGCCTCAAATGAAGTGCAAGATAATGATTTCCCTCCTGTCGCATTCTAGATACCAACTTGTTGCCATGTTCTTCAATTGGTGCTGAATATTTTAATGCTTTGTAATTGGCTCGGCATCTCAATTTTTGTATGGACTTTGAAATACCATTGTTAGCAAGCCTGGAATCAGTATGAGTAAAATAGACCACTTTGTGCTGCTTCAGGAGGGGAAGAACTTCACTTCTGTAATATGGTACCTGTGGATGAGCAATCAAATTCATCGACTGTATTAACATTATAGAAAAGGGAAGCAATAAAAACAAATTTTAATAACATTGATTATATTAAAATAAATATGAGTATGTGAGACACATAACTCTATCATATTGTGATCTCTTTTACTGCAAACTTATAATGGATAAATGACCAGACTCTTGGCTGACTTCAACATTAAGATAATATATTAATGTAATCAAACATATCTTGCCAGACTCAAAAAAAGTAAATGGAGATGGATAATTTATCTTGACCTTAGACCAAGATATTGGAGTTTTTACAAAAGGCTCAATTCCAGCAAAGTCTGCTGGTAACGTCTCAACTATGTGAATATCATCCTTCAGCATCTCAATAAAATATCTCCAGTCAAACAAATCCTTGAAGCCACTGCAAATAAATTGAAATAAAGTAGCTTAGGAACCACTAAAATATATGTTGAGCATATTAGTACCTCTGACATTTTGCAAGACGATTATCAATCTGGAAATAGGTTGTAGATAGTGAGATTGGAAAAACGGCATTATTGAAGATCTCTCACAAAAATGCCATCTTTCCATTAGGAGAAAAGCAGTGAAAGTTGTCTAATTGAAGATGTCAATAATAGGACTACAAGTGATGATATGCTTAAAAAAAGGCAGCATAAGCTGCCATGAGACAAAGCTATTATCCCTAAGTTTCTTGCACCAATCGAAAAGTTCTGTGAAATATCTTGATTTGGACAAGTAGTCTAACACTCGTAATTTCCAATCAACTAAGATAGGTGGTAAGAGTCCATTTAAATCTGAATACAGTAGCTTGCAAGAAAGCAAGAAGCAAGGGTATTATGCATAAGCAATTGGCCTTTATTTTCTAATGAGCAGTGGGAACAAATAAACCAACCTCTCATCAGCCCAGTAGGAAGTATGATCAAGGGAAGGAAGGACTAGTGTTGCCTTCAAAATCTTAGCAACAGCCACCATATCACATATCTGCATTCCAGAAGTTTTGAAGCATTAATTATGCCAGCTAGATAATTTTCTGTGATAAACCATAAGCAACCAAGGTAACCATACCCCAAACCTCATCTGATTCAGGCCACCATTAGCATTTATGAGAATGCAACCATTTGTCTTCGCATCTAGCTCTATAAGAAGAAGCAGCCAGTCAGAGAGAAGAAAACGAAACATAACAACAAAATACACTGTGTAGGTAGGTAAAAGAAGTATACATTACACGAAACGTTCATACTTTTATGATTTCTTGGCAGGTCAATGCATTGACTGTAATTCTCATAGTTGGGTATAGACCAGATGCCAGCTTCCTGAATAAAAACCAAAATTTTGATGCATCCAAAAGCAAATAAACCTTTCGGTAGACCTCAAAGGAAAAAAAATTTCTTTTCATT